TCGCTGGCCTGGCTGGGTCCGGCGTTGGGGGGCGAGGAGGAGGATGGGGAGGTGGTGGCGGAGGAGGATGACACGCTCTCAGATGAGCTCAGGGAGGAGGACGGCGTCCTGGTGCTCCATGAGCACAACTTTGCCCGTGCCCTGAGCGAGCACCGGCTGCTGCTGGTGGAGTTCTGTAAGTGTCCTCCTGATGCGGGCAGGGGTGCGGGCAGGGGTATGGGCAGGGGCATATGTGGGGATGGGTGTGGGCAGGAATATGGGCAGGAGGTACAGGCCAGGGGCATGGGTGTGGGCAGAAGCAGACACGCAGGCAGGGGCACAGGCAGGACACGGGTGCAGGATGGGCCACAGGGTGGGGGTGGGAATGGGGCAGGGGCATGGGGTACAGGCAGGGGTAAGGCTGTGTCTCAGAGGGGCAGGGCCACAGGGCATGGCACATGACAGGGCAGGGACGCGGGGCAGGGACACAGGCAGAGGCATGGGGTGGGGGATGCATAGCAGGAGCATGGGAGACGGGGCAGGGACACACGGTGGGGGTGTGGGACATGGGCCATGGCACAGGGGACACAGACAGGGGCATGCACTGGAGCCCACCAGACTCACGCAGCCATTACGTGCCCTGGCCACCTGTGAAGCCCACCCTAGGGACCAGGTACACCCCACAGCTGTCCCAGGGCTGTCCCTACCACCGACACTGTCCCCTGCCCGCAGACGCGCCGTGGTGCGGGCATTGCCAGCGGTTGGCCCCCGCCTTTGCCCAGGCGGCCGCTGTGCTGAGGAACGAGTCCAGTCTGGTGCGGCTGGGCAAGGTGGATGCCACAGCGCAGGTGGCCCTGGCCAACGAGTTCGGCATCACCTCCTACCCCACGCTCAAGCTCTTCCGTGACGGCAACCGCACTCACCCCCTTGCCTACACTGGTAGGGCCACGGCACCTCGCGATGGCCATGACGGGTGCTGGGGCAGGCTGGGGTGCAAGGATGGGTGGGGGCGGGGGGGTGATGGTGAGAGGGGTGGCAATGTCCTGATGGAGTCTGCAGGGTGGTGGTGGTGGGCAGGTGACAGCGTGGTGACGGTGCATGGGGCGATGGCAGGCAGTGCCGCGGTGGTGATGGCAGGTGGGTGGCCGGGGCTGATGGCATGGGGGGGGGGGGGGCAGCCCCGCG